GTCCTCCCCCAATGGCCTGCCGCGCCGGCGCCTCGCGCTCCAGCCCCGCCTCCCTCCCAAGCTCTTTGGGCGCTTGCGCCTAGCGAAGCGGGCCGGCTGAAGGTTTCCCTGTCGAGGGTAGGGCGGGCGGAAATGGAGAGGGTAGTCGGGTCCAGCCCCAGCCCTGGCCTGGCGCCCACCAGAGTGTGCGTTGGGGCGGAAGGGGAGAGGTGGTTACCCGGGAGGTCGTGGCCGGGGCTGGCCGGCTGACCCGGACGGGTTTTTATGTGTGTGCCCGCCCAGGGAATCATGGAGAGCTGTTTGGCCGCAGCTGCGCTGAACGGGGTGGATCGACGTTCCCTGCGGCGCTCGGCCAGGCTGGGCCAAGAAGTGCTGGAGCGGGCCAGGCGGAGGACAGTGGATTGGCATTTACAGCAGTGCCCCACGGGCGGCTTGGGGGTCCTTTCCCGGGAGGGACCCCACCGAGAAGGACGGCGGGCAGCCGACCCTCGGCGCTTTCTCCCCGCAGAGGTGAGGGCACCGGTGCTGGGACCAGCGGATCACTGCCCCGCAGATGTCGGGACGACTCGTGGAAAAGTTCTTTGAAAACTATTTTTGCTAGGTTCTTGTTGGGCAGCGTGGAATGATAGTGCTTGGCCCTAGTGGTTACTTTTTTATTAAAAAATTATCACACGCTACCATCTGATGTTAGAGAAAACTAGTGAACCTAGCTTTCAGGTCCTTGATAAATTCATGTGTATCTTACTGAGTTGGAGTTCCTTCTCAGTAAGAACTTTACTATCTTAAACTTGAACAGGCCTTTACAAGAGTAAAAAGTATTTTCAAAATTCATGCTCCAATAGGGAACCCTGAGTCTGACACGTGACTTGACATTTATTCATATAGAGAGAAGACAGACACCCAACCCTTAGTGCTTCCTTCAGAATAATGGCTGAATTCATGGACTATACTTCAAGTCAGTGTGGGGTAAGTTGGTATGAACCAAGGATGTGCCCAACCCCCTAATTGCCAGCCAGTTGATCACAGGACCTTTGGGGTTTTAGAGATAATTGAGATACTCCTGTATCCCCTGCAGATCTTCATGCACAAATTGCAATCAGCAATTAAACTTTGTGGAAAAACCCAAATTAGAATTCATCCAACAAATATTTATTGAATTCCTAACTCTGTAATTATTGTTGAGGATATGATAGTGAACAAGCCCAAAAATGTCTCTGCCCTCAGTCTATTGGGGGAAAATAGCTTATTTGCTGAATTCTAAAACAAGTCAAATATTAGGCTTTTATTTTTTACTTTAAACTGAAGTTTCAAAAAATCTCTAGGATCTCTCTGGGTTTTTTTGTTGTGTTTTGTTTTGTTTGGTACTCGGGACCTTGTGCTTGCAAGGCAGGTGGCAGAATCACCGAGGTAAATCCCCAGCTCTGGATCACACTGTTTTTAAGATGTATTGAAACAAAACCTTAGCATTAGATTTTAACCTCTAATGTTTGTTCCAGGTCCCTGGTGAGGTAGGTAAGTGTGTCTCAGTGGTCCATAGTTTGGTGACAAAGATTATTATGTGCAACAGAAGCAATTCCTTGGTCAAGTGTGTTGGTTAAAGGCAGGAGCAGCTTCAAGTAGTTAAAACCATGTTCTGCCATTTACTGGCTATAATGCCTTTAGCCAGTCACTTTCTTTCAGCCTTACCTAAAAAGGCTGACCAGAACACTGAGAAGGGGTCAATATTTAAGATGTGAAGCTAGTGGTATATTGTAGCTTCCCATCTTAAAATTAAAATTTCTAAAATACTTTCCAGTCTTAATAGCCTGTTTCTTTTTGTTTGTTTGTTTTTTGGTACCAGGGATCAAACTCAGGACCTTGCGCTTGCAAGGTAGGCAGCGGCACCACTGAGCTAATCTCTGTCCCTGTTTGTTGTTGTTTGTTGCTGTTGTTGTTGTTGTCCACTAGAGATGGTGATTTCTACCAGCAAATTATCATTAACTCTAGCACATTGGATTTAAGTGAGTTTTTTAGTACCTTTCTTTTTCTTTCTTTTATTTCATAGTACTGGGAACCCAGGTATGCTCCACTACTAAGCTACATCCTGGCCATTTTTATTTTTTTATGAGATAAAGTCCAAGTTGCCCAGGACGGATGTGAACTTGCCATCCTCCTGTGTCAGCCTACCTCACTGGTACAATTGCAGGCATGGACCGTTCTGCCTGGCTTTTGGTGTATTCATTGAAAGGAGTGAATGGAGGTTTTAAAGTCCCTCTACTAAAACCCGTACACGTAGGTCATTTTTATGTACCTTGAGGAAATGTTGAAGGTGGACCAGCCAAGATTGAAGGAACTGATCTCTCTGGTCTTAACACTTTTGAGTCTTTTATGCCTTAAGGGTACTGGTCAGTAAGGGAAAAGGAAGATAATTTCCTGTTTCTGTCCTGCTTTTGGATTTTTTTTTTTTGGTTAAGATCCCAAAAAGCTAATCTTAATCTTTTTACATCTTTTACAAAAATTCCAGTAACTCCAAGAATAGGGTTCCAACCACTGAGATATGGATCAGAGAATATTTTTATGTTCTTATTTGTACTGTGATGGTTGTAGAAAAATCTGTAACTTTAGCTTTATTGGAAAGTAATTAAACACTTGGTTCATGATTCATTAAAAACAACACTATTCGTCCTTGGTTTTAGATTTTGCAGATTGGTATTCACATTGGTTTTCAGTTCATGCTTCAGGTCAAGTTTGTTATAGAATGGAGCTTCGGAACCCTTGGTCTTTCTAGAGATTTAGTATTCTGGGGTTGCATCCACAATTTTGAAGCAGCCCCTAAAATGTATCGTTAGATCTGTGACCTCCAGTGCTTCCTCTCTCTGCTGTACTTCTAGTCACATGCCTTAGACGCTGGCCCTGCAGGGTGTTCAAAACAAACAGGCTTGTGATACCTTTATCGTTAGTCATAATCATGGACAAATCTAAGGTTAGCTTCAAGGTCAAGGAAGGAAAGAGACAAGAAAAATGTAACCATTTTCCAACCCTTTGGATTATTCTTGACCTGGAGACCTCTCCTTCCACTCCACTGCATGGGAACCCTGGGGAGAAGGGCTGCAGAACTCTGCAGAGGTTTGTTTTGTTTCCTGATGTAGCCCAAGAAAAGGTACTCCTGTCTTCCTGTATCCTTGTCTAAGACAGTAAACATGGAAATGGTCATCAGAAATGAAAGGGCATGTGTACTGGTATTTGGCATTGCAGAAAAGTTATGAAAATGATTTAACCTGGGAATAAGAGCATGATCCTCTTGCCTGCCCACCTTAAACTGGCCAGAACTCTTGCCCTACAGAGGCAGCAGATGGCAGCAAAGTAAAGTCAAATGCAGTTCCCATGTCTGGTCTGTGAGCTGTCTTGTTCTGGAACTGAAGAGGCTGTGTTACCTTTGTTCTCCTCCTTCCCTCTTTACCCATACTTTGCCCATTTATCAGAGAGGTGTTTCGTTTTCTGAAAATTCAACCAGGCGAGTTACCCCACATCTTTCGCGTTACTTCTCTAGAAATATTATTCATCGGTGCCAGAGGAAGGAGGGGCAACCCATGTCTATCGGTATCACAGAGGGAAGTCTCAGCAGCACGTGTGCTCCGACACAGGGTATGGTCAGGTACGTGTCTTCCACCATCCTGTGCTGTGCTTGCAGCTTCTCGAGGTTCAGTGTTTGTATTTGGGGGCTCCTGCCGGACTCTGTCTTGGACATGTGTGTGGCTCAGCAGTACTGTGGCTATCAGAAATATGTCATTGCTCAACCTGAGACCGTTTACAACAAGCATGAAGCATGGGTTTGTCCAAAATGTGAGACTGATTTCGCTTCACTGTAGGATCTATGGATTCACTTGCAGCTCTGGGCTGTGGGATAATTGGGCAGGCTTAAAAGAGCTTCACGTATCCTTTTCTATATTGAGGCATAAGAAGGGGATTTTTAATAATTATGTGTCTTACTACAAGGTAGTGCTATCGTGTGTTTGGTAATTTTTAAGAAGGAAGTAGAGAAAGGGGGCATCTATTTTAACAAAATGCTTTTTCTAAAAATAATGGTTTTAGGGCTAGAGATTTAGCTCAGTGGTTCCGGTGCCTGCCTCACAAGCACAAGGGCCCGAGTTCGATCCCCAGTACCAAAAATAATAAAGGTTATAGGCTTCTTACTGCAGACTTACCTGTCTTTTACTGTGTGTCACTGTTGAGGAAGCTGAAGGTTCTACTTGTAGTTGGTGGCAGGGGTAGGTTTTAGGAATTTGTTGGTTGTGGTTTTTGTCTTTATTTTTGGTACTGAGGATTGAACTCAAGATTTTGCATCTGCTAGGCAAGCACTCTGCCACTGAGCTAGTTCCCTAGCCCTTCTTATTTTTTGAGACAAGTTCTCACTAAGTTGCCCAGACTTATCTCAAAGTTGAAATCCTTCTGACTCAGACTTCTTAATAGCTGGGATTGCAGGCATGCACCACCACTGTCTCTAGAAACACTGGTGGTTATGGAAGAGAGTAGGCTTTTTTGTGTTTTTGTTTTTCCCAAACTTCCCTAACGGTACTCAAAGATAGCAAATTTAAGTCCAGAGTCTGATCCCCAAGTTGGACCCCTGACTTTCTGACCTAATGGGCCATCTTGGGGTGATGGAGCAAAGGGGTTTAGGAATAGTGGGTGTGGGGAGTACCTGGATGTGAGCAAGGGCTGAGCACAAGCTAGAAGCACTCGCTATGCCCCTTCCTCAGACATGGAAAGCCACCGTCCTGGGTTCCTTTTTCCAGCCTAGCCTGAGCTGTCTCTCAGGTGCACCTTAACTTCAGAGATTACACGTGGGGAAGAGTCATTCCTCTTTATCCCTGTAAAATGTAAAATAGTGCCTCTAAGAGAACTGGCTTTGTCAATCACTGCTCCCTTTAATACCCCCACTCCTAGAAGCAGCACACAAGACACTTTTCTGAGAGTTTGTTAAATGCCATCACTGTTGCATTTTAAATCTTCCCTAAACCCAGTCGCCTGTAGAGCAGGACCATTGACTAGGAAACGGAGGCTTAGGAGTTAATCAGTCCCTCTTGGAAAACAGCAGGGGATAGTATTTGAACTCAGACCTGTCTGATGGCAGAGCCCATGTAATGATAAAAAGTAATTATGGTAAACATCTGACTAAAACACTTCACAGAATTCACTAAAAAGAGCTTTAAGAAGGTAGGCACCAACTTAGAACAAGTGTACAGAACAATTCTGATAAGGTAGGAGAAATTTTCTCTATAATCCTGAATACAAAGCTTAGGCACTGATAAGTATTTCTACTTGTCTCTTTAGAGAATAGACAGAGAGAAGACACCCCTGGATCCGGGAGGCATCTACCAAGCATCACAGCCCGATTCAGAGGCATCCCAACCTGTGAGTGTGGGACTGCACACGCGCTGGGCCTCACCATTGCGATTCCAGGAGCCAGTTGACCTGTTAATTCTGGGGCTCCCTGTTTGAACTGAATCTGTGGTATTTTTAAGTTCTTAGAACTACAGGAGGGCGCACAAACTCTTGGTCAAATGCAGAATTGTTTTCTTGTCATCCTTCGTTCACTGGAAGCTTCAGCCATGCTCTTTGTGTCTGAGCTCATAGTTGTGGTTGGAAAGAATGTGAAGTATTCGTATCTCAGTTCTTCCGGCTCAGCTGGGCTGGCCTTGAGTCCTGCTGGAATTCCACCATCTGTTCAAGCAGCAGGAGGGCCTGACCCTCCTCCTCAGAAAGTGCAGCCATTGCTGAAATTATGAAACATTGGGTGAGACAGCAGGTTCAGAAACACTGTGAGGTATTGGTTGCCATGTTTCATAAATGTTTCTCTGTAAAACGTGTAATGATGAGTTTCTCATTTGTAGGATAAGGTACTCATTAGTTTATGGAACAGAATCTTTTGGAACTTGCATGGGCTGAAATTCTGAGAAAAGGAGCTTGAGCATTTTACTACAGTAAATTCCTTACTTTTCTGTTTTTGTATAGTTTGCTTCTGGCCAGGATCTGGACTATACTGGAGTTGAAAGCCACTAAGAATACTCAGCTTCTCACACAACTCTAAATTGCTTGGCTTAGACACCTCCAATCATTGCTTCCTTTCAGTAGTGCTAGTCTTCGTGATGCTCCAGTCTTAGTCCACTGTTGCCATTTATGCAGACAAATGGAGCAGCCTTGGCTGCCGTGATTTCTTTCACAGCTATATTTTCTTAGACGACTCTTATTTACACAGTTAACAACCATTAGTTGTGCCATTGTCTTAGTCAGATTGATTAAATGATAATAGATCTCCAAGTTTGTAGTAACTACCAGTAGGTGTGAAAAGATACAAAATAAAGCAGTTTTTGAAAAAAAAAATTGGCTTCACATCTACCTAAGGCAAGGAAGGAGCTGAGTACAAATATCATCACTTACTCCTGCTAGTGGAATTTACTGGCTAGTAGTTTTTGTTTTTGTTTTTTTTCCCCATATATGGCATTAGAAATGGCACCTTCTGCCTGGGGCTCTTTCTGAGCACTGAGCAAGCATGTGGTTGCATCCCAGCTGTTCCTTGGCTCTTGCTCTTTTTTGGTTTGTAACTTTGCCTTTCCACAGTTGAATTGAGACCCACCTCTACACGCCACATCTACTTGGAGGACGGTCTGTGCCCAGTTCAGCTCTAAACACAAGTCTGTTAACTCCAGCTTCCAGTATTTTGCACCATGGAAAACCGTGGAGTGCTTTCGCCCTCCAGCTGCCATGCTGCTTCAGGAGCCTCTGCTCCTGTCATTCTTAGCTTCAGGAGAAAGGAAATGTTTCATCTTCTCAGTAACGAATTCAGCAAAGCTCAGTTAAAAAGAATGCTTCTCATTTTTCTCATGGACTTTGCCATTACTGCCAGTGTCTGCCCACAAGGGCCACTGTCTACTTTTGATCTCCAAAACAAAGGCCATTAGTCTTTCCTTCTTCCTAATTCTTACTCCCGCTAGAGTGTTCTTATAATCCTTCGTGTTCCTGTAACACATTCGCACTTACAGTGTTTTCATGTGCTTATTTGTGAGGTGAGAGTTATCACGGCTTTAGAAATAAACAAGAAGAAGTGGAGGCTGAGATTTACCTAATGAGTTTGACCAAGCCGAACTTTGAGAGCAGGACTCTTATCCCACACATGTACCTCATTCCATCATCCCTTTGGCGTGGAAAGGTAGTAAGGGTGCCATGGTGTCCTAAAGTTGCTATCTTTTCCTCTCTTCCTTCTAGGCTGAGAACATCTCCAGGGACCTCTACATAGAAGTATATCCAGGGACCTATTCTGTCACTGTGGGCTCAAATGCCTTGACCAAGAAGACTCATGTGGTAGCAGTTGATTCGGGACAAAGTGTGGACTTGGTCTTCCCTGTATGATGTTGGCTGCCACTGTCACCACATCGGTTTTTAAGTAGCAAGAAGAATAAAGCCACCGAATGATTTTCTTAATTATGCATTAATCCTGTTTCTAGTGCTGACCTGAGAGGGTCAGCCTGGGAGCTGCCATCTGTCTCTCGCAGTGCCCATGTGAACCTGAGAGGATACAAGACCCTGTCTCATTTGCCCATGAATAACACTTGGACGATGAGGTCTGAACAGTTTTTACTGCTTGCTTTCTAAGTAAAGGTGAATTATGCTAATAAAGGGAGAGATTTGGAAACAAAGATAATTCAGTTTTATTGGTATTCAGAAGAGGTGAAATACAGTATCTCCATGTACAACTGTAGGCTTTATGAAAAGATGGCAGAGGGGCCATGGACACATTTTCCCACAGCTGGCTGACCACGCACTGGCTTCTGTGGAATAGATGTTGAGCAGTCACCGAGCCCTTGGCCAGGACTGCCGGGACAGGTCCACCAGCTCCTGTAGCTGCCTTCCTGCTGCCCATCTACAGGAGGTCATAAAGGGATGAAGATGTAGGTGTTTATTTGTTTCTCGCTTCTGGTGTGTGTGCTACGTCTGCATTAAAGGCCATGTCAGCCACTCTGTGTAACCTTCAAATATTTACTGTCGTTATCCTTTCATTTCCTGTGAGAGAAAAAAATTCCTGAGAGTCTTACGCTAACTATAATTTTAAGAATCAGAAATCACTGATTTTTAAGAAGTCACCAATGTGTCTCAAAGTTTCTTAAGCTGCCACACCACTAGTATTGTTGCATCTCCTAGTTTATTTGCCTGGTGAATCATCCCATTCTGTGAAGAGCGGTCTTAGGGAAAGTGCCAGTATTTTACGTGATGAAAACAAAGTTAAATAGAGCTGTGCTAGCATTCGTACAAGAACACTCCCATGGACAGAGAGCCTAGTAAAACAGACCCATACCCAGCACTGTAGGGTGAAAGGTCATTTAAACAGGGATCCGGGCACCCTCCAAGATCCCTCTGTTGAACCTCATGGGTTCTCTGAATCTTACTAAATGTGAAGCTGTGGGTATGTGCAAATTTCTGGGAAAGTACACCGTGGGCCTTACCATTTTCAAAGGGAGTATGACACCCCCACCCGAAGGCCTAAGAACCGTGTAAGGAGTCCAAAGAAGCTCCTCAGCCTCACCTAGATCCTCGGGGCTTTTCCTGTTGGGTGAATTCTGGTCCCGCTCATACCTTATGATACCCGGACCCATTTTTCTGTATTCAGCTCCCAGTAGCAGGGTCTTCAGTGGCTTTTTGGTTGCTTTCAGAGCTAGTTCCTTGGGTGTCCCCACTACTGCAGTTTGTATCTCTTGTTTGTTGTCATCTTCTTTCTGGATGTTGTGACATTTTATTCCTAAACCCAAAAATCAATTAGTCATACTGGATGTGCCACCATTTTGATGGAATTGATCTTGACAAGTAGAACTATATCGAGGATCACTGATCTCTTAAGTATCTCTAAACTCTCAGCATTACTGTAATAAGGGTTATTAATCTTGTCCAGCCAGTGTGCATTTTTGGAAATGTTATTATCTGATAACCCACTTTAGGTCTTAGAAGAAGGACCAGCTCAGTCAAAGGAGCTTCCAGTCTTTCATGATGTTATCAGGAACATGTCTAGTAGCGATCATAGTATGCTGATGGAATACTAAAGATGGATACTAAAGATAAACAGGCCAGACATGCTGGTGCATAGCTGTAACCCCAGCACACTGGGAGGCTGAGGCAGGAGGATTGCAAATTCAAGCCCAGCCTGGGCAATTTAGTAACTTGATGACACTACCTCAAAGAGAGAGAGAAAAAGGAAAAAGAAAATGGGACTTTTGAGGGCTAGGGGAACAATGTTAAGAAGGACTACAGTGGAAATGGTGGTGCGTGCCTATAATCACAGCTCTGGGACTTTGAAGCCTGCCAGAGCTACATAGCAAGATACCTCAATAGATGAATAAAACTGAAATAGAAGGAATACCTTAAATTTGTTTTAAAACTACAGATTGAATCCTGTTTCCATCACAAGGCGGGTGAGAAGGGACCATGAAGGCCAACAGCCCACCCTCCCTGGCAGTAAGATCAGCGACCTCTCACTGCCTGTCCCTGAAAGGAACTAAAAGTGTGGGGGTAGAAGGACACACACAAGAGACTCCTGAAGGGCAGAGCTAAAAGCTGTCAAGCATCAACTTGACAGAACTGACATCTAAATACCAGTCATATTTAGGAGAAAAGAAGCATATTTCCTTAAAAGACTAGGAAATCTGGAAAGAAGAAAAGAAAAAAGCTGTCATTTGCCATTGTTCCCATCCCTGGCCCACATGTGGCCTTCTGTACTTCCATCTGAGTTGTGACAGGCCATACTGTCTTCAACCAGGGCTGGGGATGATCTGGGCCCCCACCCAGTGATGCTGTGGCTCAGCCCCTGGAATTACACTTTCTCTACAGTATAACAAAAGATCCAGTTCCTGAAGATACCGTATTTCTCTGAATCATCAGAACTTATTGAGAAAAAAATCTTCGGAATGGATCTGTTTAAATACAGTGTTAGGAAAGTGACCTAATGAGGGTCTAAGTGGGCAGAGGAGAGGCAAATAACATATGTTTACGGCCAGGGACAATTTGTTTGAACTTAACTGGGTCTGGAACTACTTTAGAGATTGCTATGGAGCAAGCCACAGCAGTGGAAACTCCATGTCTGACCGCTGTGGCCCCTGGCTACCCCTCTTGTTCCTCTCCCTCATATTGGGAATGATGTCTCAATTGCTCCCGCGGACTCCTCTCTTGGTCTGGTACAGCTTTTCTATCTCCAGGTTGTGTTGAAGCAGGAGGCCATGAAAACTATAGAAAAGTTAGCATGGAAACTAGATTTGCTATAATCCCAGCACTTGGGAGGCTGAGGCAGGAGGATTGCGGCAAGTTCAGCCTGGGCTACATAGTGAGTTCAAGGCCAACCTGAATTACAGAGCTAGACCCTGTCTCAAAAATAAATAAAACTAGATTTGGGCACAGTTCTCTTTACATCATCACTTGTTGGGAAGGCAGAGCTCAGAAATGGCTGCATCTAGAAAGTGTTCCAATGGGAAGGGGAACAAGGGAAGAGGGAGGGAGAAAAGGAAGGGACAAGAAAAAGTGAAAATAGAGGGAAAATGGAAACAAAGCTTTTGTACATAGGGAGGGGAGGAAAGGGGCTTGAGGGAAGGAAAGCGGTGCAATAAAATAAAATTTGTTTTTTAAAAAAGAAAGAAACAGCTGTTTCTAAATAGCCACTGCCAAGCCTTACGACTGTGAGATCAGAGGGGCCCATTTCAGACACCCAGCACCTTTGCTCTCTACTTTGTATTTTCAACACACATTTTCCTTTTGGAGAGAGGAACTCAGCTGGCCATGGAGGGGGTCTTGTCCCTCTAATGTTTCCCAGATGGAGGTTGGAGAAAGATCTCACACCTTAGAAGCCGGAGAAACCCTGCAACCCTCACGGGAGCTATAACTGCAGCAGGTGGGCTGGGGATTTAGCTCAGTGGTACAGCCTGCCTCACAAGTGCAAGCGCAAGGTCCCGCATTGAATCCCCAACCCCCAGTACCAAAACAAAAAAAATTACGACTGCAGCAGGCTTATGTCCACCCCACCCATGCCAAAGCCCAGGGGCCCACAGAAATCACCCCAGAAAGTTCCTGATTAAAGAAACAGTCCTTCAACTTTCTGGAACTGAAGATTAATGAAGTCCTTACCCCTGGGACAACACTGAAACCTTGGGCTGAGCAGTCCTAGCTGTCCCGGAAATAGGGCATTAGCTTCAAATAAGGACTCAGGGTGGATCCCACAATGAGACCCAAAAGCCCAGCAGTGGTGTCCTTAGTGCTCGAAGCAGGCTGCCTCCGCTGCCCTTCACTGAGTGTCCTATCAGTGACCCTGGGCCCCCAGAATCTAGCCTAGGCATGGGTGTATCCAAGCCACCTCTTTACACAGCTCTGCCAGCTGACCTAGGCTCCTGCTCTTCCTAGGCACCGCTGGGAATTTACCCAGGTGAGCGAGGGGCTAATCGATAGGCTTCTCCCCAACAAGGCACAGCCCTTCACTCAAAGGAGAGAAGCTTGGGGTGGCTGCTTCCTTGCTAGTTGTAATGAACGAGCCGTGGTTCTTCCCACTGTAAGGTGCTCATCGGAGAGCGTGGCCAGGTGGCCAGTGTTCAAGGATCAGTGCTGTGCTTCTCAGGGTGATGACACTAATCAACACCTGCATGCATTTAACTATTCAAATCAAGGCCTCAAGGAACAAGGCAGGGAGCGAAAATGGGCAATGGCCATGCTCAGTCAATAGACCAGAGGAAAAGACAGGCGTTAAATGAAAATCTTAGCACAAAGTTCAGCCGATCCTCTCGTTTGCAGCTTGAATGGAAACCGACCACTTCCTCTTCTCAGCCTCCCAAATATTAATTACTTTCAAGTCAACAGAATGGGGAGGTGTAGCAGGTTCCTAAGGGACACGCAGAAGTAAAGCCAGCAGCCGCTCCTGGGGCGAGCAGCCCTCACCCTTGGCCTACCTGGCTTTCCAGGACGGGGCTCCGGCCCATTCCTCCTCCAGTACCTCCACTCGGGCTGGCGGGGGCCGCTCTGCATCAGAGGCCTCTCGGGGAGGAGGGGGTCAGTGTTGACTGCGCTGTCCGCCATCTGTCTCTGGGGAAGGCCCACTTCCAGGTTAGCCTCCAAATCTTCTTCACACGAGGAGGAGGAGGAAGAGGAAGAAACAACGGGGAGAGCGTGCACTGCTCCTGCCTCCTCTTTAGGGCCTTCCAGGGGCAAAAGCTGTGCTGCGGGCTTCAGCTCTGACTCTGGGAGTTCTCTGGCTGTGACATCTGAGGTCCTAGTAAGAGGCCACCAGGTGGGACCCATCAAGGGACAGCAGTAGCCCTGGCACAACAGCTGGCAGCAGGCATGGGGGTGGCAGGGAGGGCACAGGAATACGGTGTCTGAAGGAAGCCTGTTGGCAATGCCTCCACTGACTGTCCCCAGCAGAGTGCAGCAAGGGGCGCACAGGAGGGCACTGGGGTGCTCGCTGGCGCCAGGCTTGCTCAGCCTCTCCACGGCCTTCTTCCAGACAGTGGGGGGCACCCACCTGACCCCACCTAGAGGCACCTGAGCTGTCTTGCCATTCCAGAAGTGAACAGTAACTTCCGCTTCCTTCGACGCTATGAAGTGGAAAAAGGCAACACCTTATTATAATTACCTCATCTCTGGGTTCTTCTATCACCACAGGCAGGGCCTCAGCTGGCCCCTCTGTTCTCCTCTCCCCTGTACCGCAGCGGCCACCTCATCCTGACAGGATCCACCAGCCTCCCTGAGTCCTGGGCAACAAGACGAGCTGGAGGGGTCTGTCTTGCACAGAACTAAAATGCCCCTCAGTAGAACCCCCCTAACATGGAGTAAAGTGGAAGTGCGCCAGTAAAGGACTGTCAGTCCCTAGAGAATGGTAAGTTCCCATGCAACGCCAGGTAAATACTATGGTTTAACTAACCAACATAGACAGGGCGGTTATAGGTTACTTTCCCTGATTAAAAAATTTGTAATCTGAAGGATGTGACTGTTGAGCCAGGCACAGAAGCACGCGCCTGTAATCCTAGTACTTAGGAGGCTGAGGCAGGAGGGTCACATGAGTTTGAGGCCAAACTGGGCTACATGATAAGTTCGAGGCCAGCCTGAACTATATAGAGCAGCCCTGTCTCCAAAAACAAAAACAAAAATGATATTATGTATCTATTGGTGCCCAGAGTTAAGCAGCAAGCAAGAACATAAGAATTCTTTTTTTAATGGCTCAAAGACCCCTAAGCTCCGGCCTGATTGCCATCCTGGCTCCCTCTGGACACTGATGGGTCAGAGCAGCTTCCCTTACCTTGCTGAATGCCTCGCATCTCTGAGCCCAAGAGAACAGTGCCAGGTCCATACTGCTGTCCGCCTGGCTCCCATGCTGCCAGCACCTTGTCCCCAGGTCGCAGTGAATATTCTACAAATGGTGAGAGCTGAACAACATCTTCTTCGGGGACCACGCTCTGCCTCTGGCCTGGCAGCTTTGGGCTTGTGGTAAGGGCAGACTCAAATTCCACAAGCAGGACCCCCTGACTCTCCAGCTGTGGGGAAGAACACAGAATAAGATTCGGCCTTAGAAAGGAAAACAGGGAGTGGCCAGGTTCCCTCCGATGCCGCAGAACCAGGCCCTGGGTTTTCCTCACAAAGGGCAAGGACCCTGTGAAGGAGAGACAGGAACAGGGGCTACTTGGAGCTAACCAGAGTGGAGACAAGCAGGGCCGTTGCTGTTCCCCTGCCTCATCTTGCCAGGGGCAGCTTTGTTCATCCTAAGTCTGCCTTTCCCTTTGCATTCTCCTCCTTTTCCTGTTTTTCTTTGCTCCTACCAAATTTCTGGCCTGCAATTTCCAATAGTAGCCTAGGTCTTCGGAATCTTTCCCCAGTTCATGCTCTTCCGCCAAACACCAAGCAGTGCTATTCCTGTGTCCAGGACCAGCCAGGGACGGCTTATTATTCATCTACGCAGCCAACATGGACAAGGAGTTACTGTGCCCTTAGGGCAGCCCTCAATCTGCCATTAGGGCTAGAAAAGAAAGTTTTAGCTGAGTAAATGAGTAGCATGCAAGAGAAAAAGTACTTAAGCTAAATAAAAGTAGAAGCAGTTTGAGTACTCAGAACTTGAAAAAATCAAGTGATAAATATGTTTAACAAATCACTACACAGGACAATAAGATCTATATGTGAGCAAACCTCTACTAACATTTAATTTGAATTCACTTTTTCCTCAAAAATGACAAAATCACCACTTTTGGTTGGAAATTCCATGATTCTGGTTTTTGTTTTGTTTCTGGAAATGCATAGTAGTCCTTCCCCTCACTGGTCCACGTTCATGAAGTCTGATTCTGAAAAATCCCAAAGAAGTAAGTACCCGCCGCAAAGTAAAGCCCGACCCAGGCCCCTGGTGTGCCAGGAGCAAGCATCTCTGCAGAGCAAGCTTACGTGCTTGTGGGTAGGCACATTTTGCTCTTTCTTTTAGGCTGCTACCAATAATCCAACACACTGGATTTTCCTGAATACTATGGGTTGCAGTGTGACTTCATTCCCACCAAATTTACCTGTTGAAGTCCTAGCCCCCAGAACTCAGAATGTCACTTTACCTGGGAACAGGGTCATTGCAGATATAATTAGTTGAGATCATAATGAGCGTGGAAGGCCCCTAATCCAATATAACTGATATCCTTATAAAAAAAAAAAAAAAAAAAAAAAAAGGAAAAGTTTGAACACACAGTCAAAGGGAAGTCAAAGCCAGACACCAGGGGGCGCCAATTGCCAGCAAACACTGGAGGCTAGGAGAGGGCGTGGAGTGGATTCCTCCTTAGTCCTTAGAACCAACTCTGCCAATACCCAAACTTCTAGCCTCAGGAGATGTGAGACAATCCATTTCTGCTGTTTTAGCCATTCAGGTTGTGATACTTTGTTATGTAGTCTGAGCAAACTAATGCATACTCACTGAGGTTACCTGCTCACTTCTACACCCTGTCTATGGGAGATCTGTGCTTATCCAAGAAACCAAACTGCTAAACACACAGAACTAAGGCAGATTAGGTATAACAGGGGCTCCCAGAGGAACCTGCCTGCCAGGGAGATGCTGGGAGTTAGCGACTTGCCTCTGGAGCAGCCTTTATCTGAGCCTGGTAATAAAAGCCATCTGGTTCCCTCCTTGCCAGGACCCAGGTGTTAGCAGCATCTCTAACTCTTCCCAGCCAGCCAGGGCCTTGCCAGGCTGGGTCAGCAATGTGGAGAGATGGGTGATATGAAGAATACCTGGAAAAATGCAAACAAAATTATAGGTGAACACGAAAACCCAAGAAAGTTTCACAGTTAGATCTGAGAAGTGCCATTGCATGTGAATGACATACAATGGGATATGAAACAGAAATCCATGGGGAATATGTTCAGTGACTCATTTAACAAATGTGACAAAACAAGATCAGAGATTACAGTCATTTGCCCTGTTGCAAATATATGACTAAGTAGAGGAGGTGAGAAAATAAAATTCTTAATAAGGAAAGAAACCAGCAAAAGTACCTTCTTACTAAAAACTATGAACAAGTGAATCAGCCCTTCAGCCCTTAGGGTCCATAACTAATGTGGCAACGCATCACTTCTGGTAAAATAAGGTAAACTTTTGGGAGGGCAGAAGGTGAGGAGAGTGAAGGAAACCATCAATTTTGGTTTGGGAACCAAAACCTGATTAGCCTTCAAGTTAATTAATGCTTGTTCTGAGACTAAAGGATAGACCAGGAAAGACCACCAGAAAATGAATCCTAAGGTGCCAGTATATATGGATTCTAGGCCTTATCCTGGATCACATGGACCATAATGCCAAGCGCAAAACTGCAAAGCCAATGGCACTGTGGGGGCCGAGGGATGGAGAAGGGGCAGCACAGAGGAGCTGGGTATGGGACTGTGGGCAGGTAAAAGAGAGTTCAGGCCTGGGGAAGGGTGCAGGCAGGGCCAGCTGGCCTCAGAGAGTTGAAGAGTGGGTATTTGGGTTTTTGAAGAAGCTGTCTTGTGGTCAAGCCTGAATACAAAAATGCTGAACTTGGCCTTGAATATGATGGTTCAAACAGGCTGATCAAGAAATGGAGTGATTAAAAACCACCCAGACTGACCTGTCCCTGACCCACACAGACTGAAATGAATAATACAAAAGTTATTCCTAGAATTTAAACAAAATTTGCATCTGTGGTAGGCTGAGGTTCCTTTGCCCTCCCATGATTGCGATGCACAATGAATACATTTGTCTTGGGGAGTCGGTAAGTGTACATGGCCATCTAAATCCTTTTTACTTCTCCTCTCTCTTCCTCATCCATCCCTAGATTCCCTTCTCATTTACAAGAGATCTATCTCCTGTTTTTATTATCTATCTTTTGTTTTGCTCTTTGAGTTATTTATACTTTGTGTCATTTGCTCTCTTGCAGTTGTACTGTAGACAGCTGGCTGAGGGTACTATTGGAGAAAATCCTGGGTAGTTGAGAACTTTCAACTGTCGTATAGGGTTAGGATTGGAGAAGGGAGGCTGTTGGCTACACCCTTGCTTAACTTCTGTGCTGAGTTATGACTCAGCTGATAATATATGGAAAACATCTGCAGTATAAGTAGTTCAATACACGGTTGGATTTTCCTCCCTCCTTCCCAGGGACAGGGGCTTCTCAAACTTCAACCCTGATGACAGCTAAAATGCATATAGGATGAATTCCGAGGGAGCCTAAAGAGGGGCCTGGAAACCTCAGCTTAGTCATCGGTGGTAACAACTCTAATTTCTCATATGTTTTCCCAGCAAGTGTCACAGTTAATGGTAAAATGAGCTAGAAATCTTATAACTGCTCATGACTGACTGCTTTCTCTCAACTGCGATAGCTGCAGCTCTGTTACAAGAGGAACCAAAGCCCTGTCAGTAGAGGTTACTGGGAGTACGGGGTAAGCAGGGGTGAGAGACTTTTACCCCATACAAATCCCAGGCCAGAAACCAAGTTCTCTCCTTCCTGGGGTGCACCATTTCTTGCAGAGGGGTGAAGCTGGTACCTTGTAAAAGCATGGGACGTGGGGAGCCCAGGTGCTCTGTGGGCAAAGGGGCAGGCAAAGGAGAGGTCCCCACGTAGGGCAGCATAGCCCCAGCCAGGGGCCTGCAGGGTTGTAGCCACACTGCAGTACTTCGGCAAAGGCATTGCAGGCCACAGGAGGATTGTGAGGCCTTCAGAGAAAGACAGCACCTGGAACAAGCACCATCATCACTTGAGTCCAGCCACAGCCCAGCAGAGAAAGCCTGGGTGGGCCAGCTGCACCCTGGCACCACCCTACCTGCTCAACAGACATCCAGTGACCCTTTGGGATCATCTGCCTCAGGAACCTCTGTTCAGAGCGGGAGGAGCAGGAGCTGTGATTTTGGAGAAACCCCACTTCATCACAGCCTTTTGGTTGGGTATTTAACTTTCATGCCTCAGCTGACGCTCAGGAGGCCATGCCTGCATGTTCATAGCTCAAGACCCCCTTGGTGTTTTCCTCCTTCCTCTTCCCTAGGGGGAGGGGCTCCTGAGGGAGGCCCACCCCTTCCCTCCACAAACCCCAACCCTGACAACAAACCAGTCTCTCCTCCTAACCCAGCCACCCACGGGACTAACTGGCCCAGGCTTAGCTGAGACCTCAGGCCCATTGCACCCATCAACCTGCTCAGAGGTGACAACTGCCCCCATGGCCCATGATCAAACTTGGCTGCCCTAGCCCACCAGCCCCGTTAGGCTCTGCCCTGCCGGGTCCACAGGTCTGACCCCAAAGAGACTCACACGCAGCCCCAAAATCTATCTCCATACCTCAGCCTCCAGCCCCTTCTGACAGTTGGAGCTCAGGGCCTCAGCCCAACTGACTCCTGGTTGCCAGGCAGGTCGCCATGGATGCAAGCCAGCAGGGAACACTGTGGGCCCCTGGGACACTGAGCATGTGCAAAGGGTGCCAGGAGCCCTTGAGAGACTTGGGAGCACAGGGGAGAAAAGGTTTTCCATCTTTTTTTTGGGGGGGGAGGGTAAAGGCTAGTGTGTCCCCAGTTCCCAAAAGCTGAGGTTTCCCTACTGCCAGGACAGAGGGAGGCCTCATGGATCCCAGAGAGTCCTGTGACAGGGGAAGTGACTCCTCCAGAGACTCAGGGCTATAACTTTGGCACCACCATGCATAGGCATGAGGCTGGCTGGGGACAGAGAAGCCATGGCAGGCCTAGGAACTCTAAGAGAATTTGCCCATGGTTTAAAACAAATTAACCAAAGGTGTGAGCAAGTTTGTCTGAAGCAGACTGGATCTGCTGAAGAGCAGAGGTGTGGTGACCACTCGGAGGGCAGAGAGTAGACAGTGTGACAAAGGAAAAGAAGTCTGGATCCTGATCTTGTTTGAACACCCATAGAAGGCTGGCATTTTGAGGATCTGACAGTCATTGTGCACTGTGGAGAATACCAAAAAAGTTGCAGGGACATCTGTGGGCGTCTCGGCCACATCCCTTCCACCAGTTCCTGTGTCTATGCGTCTATGTGGACAGAGAGGCTGCACCTCAAGGTCCAGGAGTGGAACGTGTGTGAATCAGGGAGTCCTTTGATATGTTTCTAAGCCTCTCCAGTCAAAATGAAACTTGAGGCTTTTGCTGGGAACCCTAGGTTATAGATTTTTCTCTTGCCTCCTATGCATAAATAAGAAGGCATATAATTCTGAGAGATTCCGGAAGCCTTTTTGGGACATTGAAACTATTTCCAGAGAAAGCCAAAGAAGATAGACCTAAAGAAAGCAGGCCATGGGGAAACAAATTATTGGTAATAGCTGTGAATCTTCTAGTTACGTGAGACAATAAATTTCCTTTATTGGTTATGCCAACTTGGATTGTGTTTTCCCTTTCTTGCAACTGAAAGTACCTTAGGTGCTGACTTTCCTCACAGTGAATAACCTTGTAGTCAGCAGAGCAATAGTGCCATAAACCTTAATAGATTACTTGGTACACAAATTCAAACTTTAAGAAAGACTAAGGAAATCTGGCAATGAGAGAATGATTCCTGAATATGAATCATGGTGGAAGGGAAAGGGAGGAGTAGAAAGCAAGAGCAAAAATGGCCAGGGATGTAGCTCTGTGGCAACAACACACCTGCCCGGCAAGCGCAAGGTCCTGAGTCTGATTCACAGTACAAGGGGCTGGGAGAGAAGGGGGGGAGAAGGAAAGAGAGAAAGAGAGAAAGCAAGAACAAAGAGAGAAGGATGTGTTTGCAAGACCGATTTTCTTGGCAGGATGGCAGTGGGGAGTTGGGTATCCTGGGAAAATCTAGACATAGCTATTTGGGATGAGAACGGATTATAGGGAGCTTTGAAAAGTGAGCAGATAAATTTAAACAACATAACAGTCAAAAGCAGGTCATCACGCAGTTTGAAAGACTCAGTAAGCTGAAATGCTTTACAAGAACATCAGAATGAGAGTGAAGCCAGTGGAAAACAGAGCTCGAGACCAGAGAGGAGATGGTTAACAATGGCCCAGACACAAAGTGATGAGATTGGAATAAGAAAATAGTAACCATGGATATATATGCTGATACCTACCTGAGTTGAGGCCTTTCTGCAGGATACAAGGACTATGGAATGAATGGTATCTGTCTTTAAGGAGCTTGCAGTGTACTGAAAAGACAGAGCCAGTGTGAAGTGTGTAAGGATAGCAGAAGGGGGAGTGTAAGAAAAATGTGTATATAAAATAAAGGTGCAAGTAATGGCTGTGATAGAAGTTGAGAAAGATCTCAGATATGTAACAGTGGAGATGAGTGTGACAGACAGTGTGAGGGGGGTCCTGGCTAGGCTTGGTGACAGATGGGACCTGGGAGTTAAGGGACAAGAAGAGCCACGGGAGGAGAAAAAGAGCAATGGTGAAGGCAGATTCTCCTTGCCCGGGGTGAGGAAAGTCTGGATCCTGAAAGTGTTCTGGCCTGGAGTCTGGGATACTATGGGCAATACGAGATAAAGATAATAATACATACGATGCTTAAAAATGGTCATGGATACGTAATAGGTGTCAGGCACAGTTAATACTCATAATCGACATATGGTGAGTCGTTGTTTTTCCTATTTTGTAGATGAACCAGGACACGGGAAGAGGAGGTACAGCAGTACTTCACACTGACGCAGAACCTGCAGTCTGCTTTCTGGAGTCCTGCATAAAGCAGGCTAAGGAAGTCTAAATGCAGGAAAAAGATGAGTCTAAAATAATTTCAAACAACAACAAAGTTTTGTGAACTACATTTGCTAAGATGCTTTCTCATCATGGTTTCTCTTCAACTCTAAATTTTAACAAATCAAGGGCGGGGGTCCACTGGATCACTTAGCAAGAAGTGTTTACAAAGCACAGGACAAGCATCGTGTAGTCATTTATCAGATTTTTCATGCCTTTTTTTTTTTTTTTTTTTTTTTTTTTTGACAGCTTCTCAAACCTGAGACCTCATTCGGCGAAATTATTTCTTTCTGTTGGAAATGCTGACTCAAGCAATTCTAAAAATCGGGTCAGCACGGAGGCTGGCGGTTATTAGGGAAGAGCCCTTCCCAGGGTTATTCTTGGTCTCAGCCTTCTCAGGGTGCAGAAGAGATTGGAGGTAGTTAATGTATTTGATTGCAGCTCGGAGAGTTTCCACTTTGCTGAGCCGCTTCTCCAGATACTCCTCCGGCAGATGATGCCGGAGCTGGGCGTAGCCTTCGTTGACGCACTTCACGCGCTGCCGTTCCCGCTCATTCCTTTTCCTGATAAAGGCCGGCCCACAGGAGTAGTCGCACCTTCTGTAATTGGGGTAAGGCGTTGGGAAAGGGAAGGGGTAAGGTTCACCATAATTTTCCACGATCAGGGAGTCACTGGGAAAAGGCAGCAGTGGCAGCTCTTCGGAGTAAGCAGAAGGCACCTGGGCCTCAGGGTACAAGTGGAAAGTGACCATGGGGTCCAGATAGAAGGACCTGGGTAGTGGTAAGTGGGTAGAATCAGAGAAGACGGGAAATGTGTCTGGTGGATTAGAGTGGCTTCTAGTGTCCATCATTTCCTCTTTAACCTGGAAATATAACCAACTTCATTAATTTGTCCAGATTGAGAGAGTAGGTATGATCTTTCTTAGCGATCGATGCTTTCAAGACTTAATGCTTTAATGACTAGTTCCTGAGCTTGTTTCAAATAAGTAGAGTGGGTTACATATAATAAACTGCGTGTAGAGAGATTTTTTTATTTTTAGATAGATTTCAGTCTTGGCTTTGCTCTTTTCTTTGACCTTAGGCAAATTTCTTAACCTCTACAAGCCTCAGCTGTTTCTTATATTCACTTGCAATATTAACAATCCTACAGGGTGATTGTGAAGATGTGTGTGTGTGTGTGTGTGTGTGTTTGACACAAACAGTTCTTTTCCTCTTTCTTCACAGATGGATACATGTGTAGTACTACCCCTTTCTCTGCGCCTTATGGAAAACCTGGTTTCTATTTTTCCTAACACTGGAGAATCAAAATAGTGATCAGTTTGTTGAGATCTGAAGAACACATCTAAAATGGAAAAGGAAAAGCAATTTGAGGTCTAAGTGTGGATCTCCATAAAATAACGATGCGTACCTTTCTGCTAGTCTCTCAAGGTTTTTTCTCCTAACATCTTGAGGAGTGAGGGGTTGTTCTCTGAGGGGTTCTTTAAACACAGTAGCACTGTTAATGAAAAAGAGACAAATACTCCCCAAAGCAGCCTGAATTTATGGACAAAAATCAGATAATGCTGGCCCTGGTTTTTCTATCTGAGCACAGCAGGTTTTGCTATATCCCAGGAGGTGTGGACTCCAAGATTAGAATTCAAGTGTGTTCCAATTTTTGTGAAAAAGCCTGAATGTGGCTGCTGAAAAGACAAGAAATAGAGAAACAAAAAAGCTACAGGGGATGGGGGATAGGGGTAAGGAGTGGGGAGGGTTATGAGTCACAAGGAGTCAGGCTAGAAAAGGAGTCAATGCCAGGAAAAGCTCTTCCTACAAAGGGGCAGGGGAGGAAGAGATAGATAAGTGGGACAGAAGTAATTAAAAATCAGACAGAGAGGATCAGGAAATGAAAGATTCCAAATTGCTGACCAAATGACCTAAAATAACTAACATAAAACAAAAATCTGTAGGAGATTAAACACTAGCCAAGTTTCTGTCAAAAGGCAAAGTTGCTGAGAGAAACTAGTTAGGAAATTTCCAAGCCAGAAATTCCAGGGGGTAAGAGATAAAGGGACACATATAGTGGGGGCTACAAAATGAGGGCAGACGTGGAGCCCGCTCCACTCCATTTCTCACAACAGCTTTATTTTCACCTGCAGCTGACAAGCCAGACTTGATTAACAACAGGTTCCCCAGAAGTAAAGCAGATGTCATCAAAACTAACAATGCAAAATGATATTTTGGGGTATGGTTTTAGCCTGGAAGATAATTTAAACAATAGTGTAGGGCCAGGGATTTAGCTCAGTGGCACCACGCCTGCCCTGCAAGTGCAAGGACCTGGGTTTGATCTCTGGTATCTCCCCCCAAAATAATGATAATGTAAATTATGACCCAGATGAAAGTTGAGTGATTTGTATGTGCCACAACACATATGTTTTTACGTTTTAACAATATCGTATAACTTCTGGGGAAAAAAAGCATGGTGTCTCTAGAGATGCAATGATGAGCAACTTTTTCCACTAAGCCTATCTGGTAAGTCCACCAATCAATGTAGTAGCATTTAAAGATGATCATGTTTTATTTATTTAAAGAATAAAACAAATGTAACCATAAAACAACAAAATTAGAGAATGGAAAAAATTGCAGCAATGAGTATAATTAAAATAGGAAGCTTACGGAGTCTAGATATGTGTTTTTGTTAGGAATTGAGTACAATTTTATTTTAAAAGAAAGCAACACACATTGTTAGTGCTAGGTTCTAGATGTATGCTAACACATCTCAGGTTTCTATCTCAGAGCTCTTCTGAGAAATAAATACTGAGGTCTTTTTTTTTTTTTTTTTTTTTTTGGTACTGGGGATCGAACTTGGGTCCTTGCACTTGCGAAGCAGCCACCAAAACCACTGAGCTAAATCCCCAGCCTCAATATGGAGGTCTTAATAATAAAATCCTAAGAGATTCTTGATACTCTACTGAGCATAAAAGCTTCTACTTTAAATTTTTTTTTGTTTTTTTTTTGTATCAGGGATTGAACTCAGGACCTTGTGCTGGCAAGGCAGGCAGCGACACCACTGAGCTAAAGCCCCAGCTCTACCTTCTACATTAATACATTAAAACATATATGCGGCATGTCAAAACCAAAAAGCTTCTACTACACACATCATTGAATTATGGAGCGGCAGAGGTGAGGGAAGCTGGGAAACCCTCTTTACGGGTTGTGGTAGGTAACTAAGGTTGCTAAGTTAGTAGCAAAGGAGGACGTGGAGGTCCTGAACTTCCAGACCACAATGCTCCCCATTCCTCTGGGAGATTTAATCACCAGCAAAATCTGGATCTTTCATGACAGTGTAATAACTGATAAGGTAATGCAATAATCAGATTATTCATAAAATTTGCCATTTATCACAGAGCCTTAGGATTTCCTTAAAAGTCATGTTTTTATTCCTCCCCCATTGGCCATTTTTGAGAAGTGTCTCTTACCTGAGTTTTGTCATTCAAGATGCCGTATTTCGGGCTGAGTCAGATTTAATCTGATTTATAGAAGGTCATTTAGTGACAATATGCAAAGTGGCTTACAGTTAAACAGAACTGCTTGGCTCTGGTTTAGCTGTTTTTTTTTTCTAGCTAATATGTTGACATGACAACATATAATACTAAAGAGAAAGATTTGCTTACACAATTGGACACTTGTAACATATTTTTGTTTAAATAATGCCCCCATTCCTCTGTATTAAATGATTTTATATCAAAATTATTTATGGAAAACATCTTTACATAATAGTCCCATAATGTTCAAATACTGGTCAATATTCTTTAGAAATAGATATTTAGGCCAGAATGAGGAAGGTCAATAGGAATTTATATCTTTTTTAAATGTCCATTTTATTTTTCCTCTTAAGTAAATTTATTTTTAGGGTAGCTTTAGGTTCATAGCAAAATTAAGCAGAAAGCCAGGGGTTTAGCTCAGTGGTTCCACTGCCTGCCTTGCAGGCACAACGTCCTGAGTTCAATCCGGTACCAAAATAAAAAAAAAAAAAAAAAAGATTGAGCAGAGGCCCTGTACACAGCCCTCTCCACTATCAAAATCCTGCCCTGCCGTGGTGACTTTGTTATAACTGATGAATTTACAATGACACAGCGTCATTCCCCAAAGCCCATAGTTTCCATTAGGCTTCACTCTCGGTGTTATATGTTCATATTCTATGCTTTTGGACAAATGTATAAGGGCCTTTATCACCTGTATCTATCGGTAGCGTATCATGTAGAGCAATCTCAATTCTCTAAACCCTCTCTGCGCTGCTTGTTCATCTCTCCCTCCCCATAACCCCTAGCAACAACTGATCTTTTCGCTGTCTCTATGGTTTTGCCTTTTCCAGAATATCGTATAATTGGAACCATTTAATGTGTAGCCTTTTCAGATTGGGCTCTTTCACTTAGTGATAAGCATTTTAAATTCTTTCATGTCCTTTTATGGCTTGAAAGCTCATTTGTTTTTAGCACTGAATAGCGTTCCCTTGTGTGGATTTATCCAATTTACCCACGTGCTAAAAGAATATTTTTTCATTGAGTTTATTGGCACTTGTAAGTATAGCACACAGTTACATTCATGATTGGGACCTTGTACCTTTACATGACAGATCCTGGTTCTCATTGTTTCTCCATAGCCTGCTCTCCCTTCACTCCCGCCATCCACCCTATTGGTTTCCATTTTTTTCCTTTTCTCATATTTTTTCCCTTATTACCTTTCCCCTACCCTTCCCACTTCCCCTACCCCTTTAGCCCTTTTCTTCCTATTTCACATTATCAGTTATACAATTTGGATCTTATTTACACTTTTAGTTTTTCACACCAGAGAAACTATTCAGTATTTACACGTGTGTCTTATTTCACTTAAGAGTATGGACTCAATATGCATCTATTTTCCTATGAATGGTTCCAGTTTCTCCTTTATGGCTGAGTAGTATTCCATTTTATAGAAAAAAAATACATCTTCTTTATCCAGTCTCCAACTGATGGGTAATTGGGCTGTTTCCAAGTTTTAGCTATTACAAACCATGCCGCTATAAACATGGGTGTGCATATATCACTGTGGTATGATTCTAAAAGAAATTTTGGTTGCTTCCAAATTTGGGCAGTTATAAATAAAGCTTCTATCAACATCCATACGCAGGTTTTTGTGTGAACATAAGATTTCCACTGATTTGGGTAAATACTAATGAACACAAGTGCTGAATCCTATAGTGTATTTCGTTTTGTAAGAAACTGCTAAACTCCCAAAGTTGTGTCATTTTTACATTCCCACCATCACTAAACAAGAGTTCCTGTTGCTCTGTCTATGAGCATTCCCAGTTGATAGTGTTCTAGATTTTGGCCATTTTAATAGGGGTGTAGTTGTATCTCATTATTTTAAATTGCCATGCCCTGGTGAAGAATGGCTGCTCTCAAGAAATTAACCAATAACAAATGTTGGCGGGGTTGTGGGGAGAAAGAACCCTTCTCCATTATTGGTGGGAGTGCAGACTGGTGCGGACACTGTGGAAATCAATATGGAGCTACCTCAAAAACTAGGATTGGAGGTCCCATTTGACCCAGCTATCCCCCTGCTGGGTATCTTCCCAAAGGAATTAAAAGAATCATATCACAGCGATATATACGCAGCCATGTTTATAGTGACACAATTTGTAATAGCTAAAACTAGGAAACAGCCCAACTGCACATAAACTGGAGATTGGATAAAGATGTGGTTTTGGGGCCAGGGATTTAGCTCCATGGTTCTGCTGCCTGCCTCACAAGTGCAAGGACCCAAGTTCGAGCCCTAGTACCCCCTCAAAAAAGTGGTTTTTCTACAAAATGAAGTACTACTCAGCCATAAAGAACAAGAAACTAAAGACAGTTATAGCTAAATGGATGCACATTGAGGCCATACTCAAGAGAAACAAATAGGACACACATGTATAAATACTGAGTAGTTTCTCTGGTGTGAAAAACTAAAAGTGTAAATAAAGTTCAAATTGTATAATTGATAATGTGAAATAGGAAGAAAAGGTCTAGAGAGTAGGGGAGGAGGAAAGGGAAGGGGAGGGGAAAGAAGGAAGAAAAAAATACCAGAAAAGGAAAAAATGGAAGCAAAGTCTTTGTAAATAGGGAAGGGTGGAGGGGTTGAAGGGAGGGCAGGGGTATGGGGAAAAAAATAAGAACCAAGATACATCATGTAAAGGTACAAGTTCCCAATGATGAATGTAACTGTACTCTATACCTAGACAGTACCAATAAACAATAAAAAAAGGAAATATATGGAAGGAACATCTTTTAAATATGCTTATTTGCTAACTGTATATTTTCTCTGGTAAGTGGCCTGTTTAAGGCTCTTTTTTTTTTTTTTTTTTTTTTTTTTTTTTTTTTTTTTTGAGACAGGTCTCACTATGTCGTTGAGACTGCCCTGGAACTCACGATGTAGCCAAGGCTGGTCTCAAACTCACAGTGATTCTCCTGCCTCAGCCTCCCAAGTGCTGGGTTTACAGGCGTGCACCACCACACCTGGCTGCCCTTTTTTAAATTATATTTTTTGTTTTGTTTTCTTACTGTCAAGTACTAAATATCCTTTACGAATTTTTTCCTGGTCTCTATCTTATCTTCTAATTCTCTTGACAATATCTTCTGGAGAAGTTTCAACTCTTAAATATAGCCCAGCTTGACAATTCTTTCTTTCAAGGACTTTGTTTTTGGTGTTATATCCAAAAAGTCAGTACCACCTAGATTTTCTCCAATGTTACGTTCAAGAGATTGTATAGTTCTACATTTCATATGTAGGTTTATGATCTGTTTTTGTTATTTTTGTGAAGGGTCTATTGTCTAGATATTTGTTTTTTATATATGGATATTCAGTTGTTTGTTCCAGCACAATTTGTTAGAGATGATTTTGAGCTGGGGATGTAGTTCCATGATAGAGAGCTTGCCTAGTATGCACATGGCTGTGGACTCAATCCTCAGCACCACAAAACAAGAAAGAAAAACAAAACTGTCTATGGTTTAGATCTAAATGTCCCTCAAAGTCTCATGTGCTCAGAAGTGGAGCTTTTGGATTGGATCATGGAACTGCTATATTCAGCAGTGGATAAATCCATTGATGAGTTCATAGCTGAATGTACTGTTTAGGGGGTGGGGCCTGGCGGGAAGGTCACTGGGGGCTTTGCATGAAAGGATATATTCTTATACCTTTTCTGTTCTCTCATCCGCCCCACCCCCCTTTCTGGCTGTGAGTTGAACACTTTTCTTCCACCATGCCCTCCTATCATCCATTTCTGCCTTGAAGCCAGCTGACTTGGGAATCAACCCACTGGAAACCATGAGCCAAATAAACTTCAAGTTGCAAGTGTTGTGTTATTTTATCCCAGTGACAGAAAAGTGACTAATACAACTATCTTTTCTCCATTAGATTGCTTTTGCTGCTTTGTCAAAGATCAGTGGAATGTATTTATGTGAGTCTATTTCTGGACTCTATGCCATTATATTGATGTCTATTCTTTTTTTTTGGTGGTACTGGGGTTCAACTTAGGACCTTGCGCTTAGCAAGGCAGGTGCGGTGCCACTGAGCTACATCCTGGGCCGATCTCTATTCTTATGTTAATATCACACATCTTGATTACTGTACTTCACAATAAGTCTTGAAGTTGGGTAGTGTCAGTCCTCTGGATTTGGGGTTCTCCTTTAAGATTATGTTGGCTCTTTTGGGACTTTTACCTTTCCATATAAACTTTAGATTTGTCAATATCCACAAAATAATTTTTTGGGATTTTTTATTGGGATTGCATTTAATCTATAAATCAATTTGGAGAGAACAGACATCTTGACTATACCAAGCCTTTCTATCCATGAGTATAGAATCATTTTTATATTTTCTAATTTTTCTCATATAGATTTTATAAATATTTTGTAAGATTGTTTATACTTAAAATTTCATCTTTGGGATGCTACTATAAATGGTATTGTTTTTAATTTCAAATTCCACTTCTTCACTGCTTGTACATGGGGAAGCAATTAACTTCTATGTATTAGTCTTATATCATGCAGCCATGCTATAATCTTTTATTTCAGGCATTTTTGTTGATTCCTTTGGGTTTTCTATATAGATGGTTGTATCACTTATGAAAAAGAGGCAGTTTTATTTCTTCCTTCCCAATCTGTAACCTTTTATTTTGATGTCTTACTGCATTGGCTAGGATTTCCAGTGTAATGTTGAAAAGGAGTGGTGAAAGAGGATGTTTACTTTGTTTTTGATCTTAGTAAGAAAGCTTCTAGTTTCTCATTGTTAAATGCATTAGCTGGGGATTTAGCTCAGTGGTTCCACCGCCTGCCTTGCAAGGGCAAGGTCCTGAGTTTGATTTCTGGTACCAACAAAAACTAGAAAAAATATTAGCTATAGATCTTTGCAGTACTGGTTTGTATTTTTGTCATGACTGCTTATAGGCTGATGATCATCCAATTTGCTTCTTTAGATGTAATAATTATATTATTTTCTAATGTTGAAGTAGACTTGTATGCCTGGGAAAAATCCAATTTGGTCAAAGTTGAACCAAAATTCTTTCTTAATGGTACTGAGGCAGGATCTCAGGGAGTGCTAAGCTACACTCTGAGCTTCTTAAAAATTATTTTATATGGGGCCGGGGATTTAGCTCAGTGGCACCGAGCCTGCCCTGCAAACACAATGTTCTGAATTCAATCCCCAGTACTGCAAACAAAAAATTTTTTTGAGATAGAATCTCATTCAGTTGTCCAGGCTATCCTTGAATTTGTGAATGTCTTGTCTCTGCCTTCTTAGTGGCTGAGATTGCATGTATGTGTCACCATGCTCAGGCTAAATTTTTTAATACTAACAATAAAATCAATTTTAGATTAGATTTTGGGGTGCTAAAAAACTGGTTATTTTTACTAAACAAAAGCAAAACCATCAATAGCTCAAAAAACCACATCCTTACTAATTTACTTCTATTTTTTGCCAAGTACTTCTTAGAACAGAATATTAGAACTTATACTGGAATATCTGTATACTTTTCAGAGCCACTTAAGAATCCACACATTCTTTCTGCACATGCACACACAGATAAGTTAGTAGCAGTTTTTTATGATCATATTGGTATAAAACAAGTCTCACAACAGGGTACACAAAATATCAATGTTTCTTCAAGCTAATATAGCTTGAAAAGAGAGGACATACACACACCTGATAGGTGTTTCAAAATTTATTGTTACATTCCAAAGGGGACATCTGAAAAATGCCAGCTATCCAATAACTGCTATAATTTTCAGAGAGAGGCATCCAGAACCCCAGTCCTAGTTCAAAGCTGCACATACTAGAGCTCAACAGCTGCCTCTCAACATGACCGGAAATGCTGACCAACACGTGTATGTCATCAATCCAGGGAGGCTTGGGTAAAAATTTCCTTATTGCAAGTGTCCAAGTCCTTAGGATTTGTCCTTAAAGATACTAGAAGATGAGGGAGACCATACACACCAAGACTATGTTTAGTCATATGAGTAAACTGGCAAACAGCCAGTTTGTTCTAGGATGCATTGCATCAGACATCACAGTACATGAAGGAAATTTGCATTTGGTGAAGAGCCACCAGGTATTTCAGATCCAATTTACCATGAAATCCAGCCACAGGCCAACCAGATGTCTAGATAATATAGTCAGTGCAAAAGTCATATGGGTAAATCAGCACTTTGATGAGGCTGATTACACTGGAATATATTAACAAAATTTGAAAATAGAAGGTAAGGTCTATTTACAAAAGTTGGTTTAGTAAACTAACATGAGAAAAGTTGTGTCAAGCACTTCCCCTGTATCCTTCCCTTCTCCCACAAACAAACAACAAAAAAAAATACACCTGAAAATTATCTTGAAAATCAGGTTAAAACTGAAAAAGAAAAGTGCTTGTTCCAGGTAAAGGCTTTCAAGATAATTTACAGGCAGACTTAATTTTATTAGTAAAAGTCACAAGTAGGAAAAGGCTTGCTGGCTGACTTTGAACTGTGTGCTTTTAAAATGTCTCTATTAATACATTAACAAGAAAAAAATACTAAGCATGTTTTTGCTTCCAATTTTGAGTCTTCCAGCAAGAGTTGATAAGATCAACAGGGTAGTAAAAGAAAACCCAGGAAACTCAGTTCTTTCCAGATGTCTGCCTCGTTTCTTTCTAGTCATCTTGGATTTGATTTCCATTAGCTGAGGACAACATGTCGGTCAAAGACAGATTTTCGCTGCTCTTGAACTTGAAGCTTCCAGCGCTGCTGTGCATACTCCACCTTGTTCAGAACATTGGGTCGACTGCGGGAGCGGGCCAGGACATCATGAGCATTTGCAAAAGGCTGATGATCCTGAAAGGCCAAATGGAAAATAACCAGAGACACAATATCAGTGTAAAATACACACACAACAGCAGTTAGCCAGCCCCAGAAACAGGAGCAGGTGGGCCTTTCAAACAATAGACCATCTGCGTGACTAAGCACTTCACAGGTAATCAACTATCAGAAGAAGGATGTGTTCATCTACAGAAACAGGTCAACATAAGCCATGAGGAAGTATTTGGAAATGGTTCACCATTTTCAAAGGTGTTTCCTTTAATATACAGAGACCAAGACAAAGACATTTGTGTTAAAGAGAAGTCTTCTCTGCCTAGTAGGGAAAGAAAGTGTATTTGCATGTTATTCTGTCCATGTTACAGATACAGAAAGTAGGGCATTTCCTTGATTTAATCAATCCATAGTTACTCTTTCAGAGAGAAAGTACCTGACTTAATTTCCTGACACTCACTCATTACATTAGAATTGTTTACTTGCTTGGACCCACATTCAGCATGGCAGATGAGTTGACACAGTCTTATCTTGGTTGGTTTTCATCTCTCCCCATTCTTTCAGAACATACACTAAATGGCCTACTTTCTAAAACTTTTCTTGTTACTCCCTTCTGTAAACTGCAATGAAAAGACACATATACAGCTGAAGTGCTAAAATCACCCTCTATGACCAAGAAAAGTGAGGAATGATTTACTTCACATTTTTATGTAACAAAGACTTGCGTCTTTCATTGTTGAGCACTTAATGGCTCACATGTTATTTGCTGTATAAAGAAAAGAGGCTATTGAAGGATTACCCTAGTATCTGTGTAGAAAACCTACCTCTCCTGGTCAAAGTAAACTAATACAACTGGATGTTTGTAGTCATTACACAGGAAACCACCATGCTAATCTATCTATGAATAAGATATAAACACAGCTGCCTATGTGACAAAAAGCATTCAGTAGTAATTTATTGTTTTTGTTTTGCCTTTTCCTTGATCTCTTTTTCCTGAACCCGATGTCAGCAATGTTTCTAAATGTCCCAACACAAGATAAGGGTCATAAGTTGGGCCTCTTGAGCTAAGTTTTGTCTCTAGAAACAACTTTGTTCTGCAGTACATGTCTGTAAAAGTTGTCATATATCCGGGACAAGATTCAGGATATAGGAAGCATTATTGAAAAATTTATTACTGAAGAAACACATTCCATTAATTGCCCTCAAAAGCCTCCCCTTCACTTTGAATACACGGATCCCACCATTCTTGCCATGACCTCAAACAGGTCTGGGAGTCCTCTTTCATGAGTATCTTTAGTTGCTCTATCATGGCTGCCTCAATGTCCTGAATCAATTCAAAATGTCCTTTTCACGGTCATTTTTACTTTGGGGAAGAACCAGAAGTTGCATGGCACCAGGCGTGGTGAATAAGGTGGATGAGGACACACTGTAATGCTTTTTACAAACCTCTCTCTCCATTGGATGGCAGGCCCTTGGCAGCCACATTCACTGAATTTTTATCACACCCCATAAAGACAGTCACGGAAAAGGACTTCTAGAACTGCTTCAGAAAGTGGCAGGAATGATGGAATAGTGTATTTAAAGCAAGGGGTAATAATTAGTTGAGGGAAAATGGCAATGTGTCTTTTATTGAAATAAATTTAAATTGTAAATATCATATACTTTGATCATACCTCATACATGGAAAGCTACGCATAACCATATAACTTTAACTACAACTGTACATGGTGTTATACTACCTGGTCTTATTGTTATAGTCAGACTTTAATACCATAATTATATATACATTTTTTAATTTAAAATTTTCATGAGAAAATTTATTGATAAAAACAGGACTGTTCATGTGTACAGATGTGAAAATACATTAAAATATTCAGATACATTAAATATGCTTTTGATACTTTGCTTTATTTAAAAGTACTGTATGTTCAAAGCAGTATTATACTTGCTAATAATTAATTTTGATTTGGCTCTACTTTTAACAGAATTTTTGAGGCACTTTCCAACAAATATATTAAGACTGTAGAAAATAAAAGATGGCAATAGGCGTCTAGATAAGAGCAATTTGGGGGTGAAAAATAAGTTTTCTAAGAAAAGTATACATTTAAGTTCCAAAGTCTTAAAAACTGTAACAATTCTTAAAATTCCCCTTCTAAAAGCACACTGATTATATATATTTTTTTTCCTTTTCTGGTACTGGGAATTGAACCTAGAGTGCTGCACTGTGCTGCATATCCCCAGCCATTTATTTATTTTGAGACAGGGCCTTACTAATTGGCTGAAGCTCAAATTTGTAGACCTCCTGCCTCAGCCCCCAGAATACTAGGATTATAGGCATGTACCACCACGCTGAGCACATTTTAAAAATCTAAAGCAGGACCATGATTTTATATATATATATATGGTTTTTTTGTTTTTTGTTTTTTGTTTTTTTTTAGTTTTTTGAGACAGGGTCTCACTATGTAGTTGAGACTGACCTGGAACTCATTATGTAGTCCAGGCTGGTCTTGAACTCACAGCAATCCTCCCGCCTCAACCTCCTGAGTGCTGGGATTACAGGCGTGCGTCACCACGCCCAGCAATATTTTAAAAGAATCTTTTTTTGCCTTCTTTACCGAAATGTCAACTTTTACTTAATGGTAATGGCTTGTGTAAATCCCAATTATTTATTTCTAAACTTAGAAATGGAAATAATAAAGACAATTCAATGAATTCCAAAATGGGGGGGGGAGAAAGGAAAAGAAAAGATAAAAGTTATACAATTACTTGATTACCCATAAGAAAATAAACTGGCCCACAGTCATTTAACACATTAGCACAGACACTAAAACTTAGCTCGCCTAACCTTGACCTGGTGTCCTATCTTCTCAACACACAGATTTTGTTCAGGTAGATTAAAATGACACTATAGGAATATGGTGCTTTGGTGAACTTGTATATAAAATATTATTACCATTGATTTGTTTTGACATAAACAAGACCGGGAAGAAGGATATACTTTGTCAGCACAGCACTCCTCGGTTTCACAGTCCTGCTATCTACTCTTCAAGAGAGGGGGAGAAAAAAATCTTAAGGGACAAATTTAAAAGACTAAATAAACTAATTAATCCTTTTGGTCTGTCCTCCACCTATTAGGGCAAGATTGAACTAGCTGATCATGGGCAGGTATGCTGAAAGGATGCAAATAGAGATTTACCCTTTTATGTTTGCTCCTTTTACACCTGATGAAATTTCAATGAATACAAAACATGTCTTAATGTAATGCTTTGATAATAGTAATGATGTGTCATGGATATATGATACAGTAAATATTATGACTACTTGCAGTACACTTAACTATTTGTACTCACTTTGCTTTACAAATGTTCTATTTTGAAGAAAAATGAAAAAAAAATACGAACTGAAAATTTTAAATGAACACAAATAGTGAAGAACTCCTGTTTTCTTTGTTTTTTGATGGTACTGGGGATGCAACCTAGATTCTTTGAATGGAGAGACAATGCAATAAATAAATTTTTTTTTTTTTTAAGGCAGAGGCTCACTTGTCTCTAATTTGCTCAGGCTGGGCTCAAATTTGCAATCCTCCTGCATCAGCCACCCAGAATGCAAGGATGACAAGCATTTACCATTATGCCTGGCAAGAACTCCCATCTTAAATAAGCAACAAATGTAGTAATTTAAGTTTAAGTTCTTTAGTGTAGAATTATTACCATAACTCCACAGCTCTGATCAGAAAACCTCACTCTGCCCAGAATCAGTTTAACAGCTATGCAAGAGTCAGCCGAGCCTCTCAGTGACAATGTTCTCAGATAGTCAATATGAAGGCAGACTCACTCACCTGTGGGTACCATGTTACTGAGCATATGACCTTATCAGCCAAATGCCTGCCTTACGTGTTTTTCTGTTCACATTTAACATTCATTTCCTGTGTGCTCTGAATGTATTTTAATATTGCTTATTTCTGAAATCAGAAACATATTTAATGCTATAATAGATGTAGATGAAGTCAGAGTTTCAATCTATGTGGCTATAATGAAAACAGTTTATCTGGCCTTTGACACTGATGTTTTCATTCGTCAGTACTTCTCAACTGGGGGTGATCTTGCCCACATTTGGCAAAATCTGTGAATTTACCAATCTCAACCTGTTAGTGGGGATTAAACCCAGGGCTGCTCTACCACTGAGCTGCATCCCTTTTTTTCAGACAGGGTCTTGCTAAGTTGCTTTTTCCCAGGCAGGACTCAAACTTGAGATCCTCCTGACTCAGCCTCCCTCAGAGCAGGCATGACACAAGTGTGCTATGTGGATATTTTTTATTGGCACGACTGCGATGGAAATAATTTGTCACAAATAATTTGGCATCTAGCAGACAGAAGTCAAGTATGTTGCTGATATCTTACAATAAACACAATAGCTCCCTACAAAAAAGAATTATTCATCCATCCCTAAATATCTACAAAGTCAGAGTTGAGAAACCCTGAGAATATGAGTAAAAATGAATGTGGACATAGTACTTAAAACTCTAATACTTCTGATATACAACTTCCTATCCTTCTAGTTCTCTTTGGCTCTAGCCCCACTACGTTTTTTTAAAAACTATATTAGAGCTTCAATCTTTTCTTCCAGCCCTCCTTTTAAAATAAATATATTTCTTATAAGACTATAAATAAAAGTGAGGAAGTATACTATTGTTAGTTATTTCTTGTACATGTCTGTTTCTGTTTCATTCATCCCTACCCTCACCCCACCCCTACCCCCCCACACACACTGGCGATCCAACTCAGGACCTTACACTTGCCAGGCAGGTGTGGCGCCACTGAGCTATATCCCTGGCCTTCATTCATTTTTTTTATTCCTAGTACCCAGCACAGTATTTATCCAGAAAATAACTCAATATGTGTAGGCTGAATCAATAAAAGGAGCAGAGGAAAAAGATGCAAACAGAGGTGCTTCTATGAAAGTTCTTGACAAAAATTTTTAAATCTTACCCAATAGGACAATAGCATGTTGATCAAACAGCAACTCTGTTTACAGTTATAAATCAAGCTATGCACCAATTATGAGTGTAACTGTTCTGTATGCTTAAAAAGTATTAATAAACTCAATTAAAGAAAATGAAGCTATACAATCAGAATCTCCTTTCCCAGCTTTTACCTACATGTCCACAAAGGCATTCCACAGCAAAGTGACCTCTGACTTTCAAGTTTACTCCAGATTTGGCTGTTCAAACTATACTGAATTTTATCCTCTTTTAGTAACATAGTCCAATAAAATATAAAGAAAAAGTAATTTCTAAATAATAATTACACATAATAATAAAATATTGGAAAATTTAAGAAATAAATTCTAAATGTGATAATGATAAAACAAACAATATAATTCTGTAAGCTATCCTGAATAACAAGCTTGTGTATTATGTCAATTTCTAGACTTTTTTGTTTGTTGTGCTGGGATCGAACCCAGGGCCTCGAACAGCTCTAGACATTTTGTCTTGTTTGTTTGTTTGTTTGTTTAGGTACCAGAAGTCAAACAAACTTAGGACCTCGCACTTGAGAGGTGGGTGTGACACCACTGAGCTAAATCCCCAGCCCTCTAGACATTTTTTTAATGAAGTAATGTTAAAATAAAAAGACCATGAAACAACATGCATATTGATTGTGGTAACTATGTGTGTTTTAAAGATAAGAAGAGGATCTGAAGTGATGGTTTTATTTTCTTCTAGAGTTAAAGAAAAAATTATAGTTCTTTTTAAAGGAGGAAATATAAAATATCAGTAGATAATCAAGGTGTACCTCTTTGAAAACAATAAGAATGTCCTGCTTTCCGTGTTTTACTTCAGTAAAGCTTCTGTGCCCTCTAAAGATTTGGTGACACTCACAGGCAAAATGTTTCAGGGAGGAGCTTTGGGAGAAACCTGCCTCAGACACTATCTCCATATAACAGGGTAAGGCCTTGTATAGCGCCCTCTTCAAGGTTCAGTTTAAACTGCCATGTTTATGGTTTTACAGAACAATTTGCTCACAAATAAAAGCTACTAAAATTACAACTCTCTTTAACTTTTCAGGTTGAGGATCAACTCTGATAATTCAAACATCTATATGCAACTATTTTCCACTTGTATTTTTTTTCCTCCACTTGTATTTCTATCTGATGATGACAGAAACTGGCCACCAGCCGGTAAGGCAGGCTGGAAACTTACCCCAACATCATCATCACTCTGTATCAACTGCGAGTGTCCAAAGAGGCGCCTCTTCAGTATGGGCTCCACCAGGGTAAGATATACCATGTACAGAAGTAGGAGACCCAAAATAGAGAGATAAATTATAATGGTGACCTAAGGGAAATTGAAAGTAAGTTACATCTCTGTTCAAGATGAGAAATCAGAATTTTATATAACATTAAACCACAGTGAAGACTGATACCTCTGCTTAGCCTACAGGGTTTCTATACCAACCAGATTCCAGTATAAGAAACAAACTCAACTCTTCACCAAAGTATTATTTAAGGAAGAAGAGGAAAGAACACATTTTGTCTTTTGGATCTTTCTGTGAGTCTCTGAAATTCCATTTTATCTACTGCTAATTATTTGTCTTTATGACTAGCATAGCAGTTTTCTTTTTTCAGCTGAACATAGTGTCCTAGATTCAGTAGTACTGTTGCCAAATCAACTCAAAGGAACTCTTTAGAGAAACTGTAACTCAGGTGAATTTCAACAGAATACTGTATTCTTTTAGATCAGTTTAAGTCTATAAAATATTTTTAGGCCACTGATATTTTGGGGTTACTAATTTGTGTACTGATCAAAAGTACAGAAAGACATGCCCACTAGAATAGATATAATAAATTAGACAGACAGTGCCATTTATTAGCAAAGACCTCATATACCACTGGTAAAATGGTATAATTGCAGTCAAGCAAGCCTTTTATCTCATCACTCTGGGAGGCTGAGGCAGGAAGATTGCCTGAGCAACATACAATTTGGTGACATCCTGACTCAGGAACCAAAAAAAAACAAAAACAAAAACAAAAGACCATATATATATATGTATGTATGTATGTATGTGTATGTGTGTGTGTGTGTGTGTGTGTATATATATATATGTGTAT